TCTCTCCGTTTCGGGGGTCTACTTCATCTGCCCCTTGACCGGGGTGGTTGTCAGGAAGGACAGGAAGGAGCAGCACCTGAGGGAAGCCATCCAGTCAGTAAGTGCTTCCCGGCATTCCCAGCCTTCCCTTCCTCCCAGTTTGTGGCATGGGTCCCCTCAAGTGACCTCTCCAACCCACCGCCTTCTCCCTGCGTCTCCCAAAGGAGCCATCCAGATTCGTGTCCAAGCCCCTCCCTCGGCACGCTGGGACTGGGAATTCCAGCCCCGTGTACTGGTTTTGGCTGGGATGGAGTTAATTATCTTCACAGCAGCTCTTCTGCTGCGTCTTGGATTTGTGACTAAGGTTGATGACACACTGGAAATGGCCAAAGTGGGGAGGAAGGAATAAATCCCTTTGCTTCATGCACAGCTTTTGCTTTACCTATTAAATGCCTCCAGCCCAACCCTCATTGGGGTTGGTTTTCCCCCTCTTTGACCCTGTTGCTTCTCTCTGCCATCCCAGCACGGGCAGAACAAGCCTGGTGCTGGGTTAAACCACAGGAGCCCCTTTGCGTGGAGCAGTGGCAGGTCCCCCTGACCCCCTTCTCTCCTTCTCTCCCAGTATTTCTCCGTAGACCCGGTGGCTGCCTCCATCATGGAGATTCACACCTTCAATAAGGACCGGGAGAGAGTGCGAGTGGGGCTGGACACTGTGGCCAAGTACGTGGTGCTGGAGGTGGTGGATGGGCACACAAGGAGCTTGGCTCCAGGGCTGTAGAACACTGAATCCAAAGGCTTAAACCATCTTAAGTGTCAGTTGGAATAAGGGCAGCATCTCCCAGAGGGTTTAATGGTCAGTCCACTCATGCAGATTTGGGAGCTGCTGGTTGAGATCCAGCTTCTGTCTGGTTTGGGGAGGAAATGATCCTGCTTTCCTGGTTTTTTGCAGTGAGAAATACTCTGAGGTCACCCAATCTCTTCCTGCGCTGTGGAAGAGCACATCCTGCTTTGATCCATGCTGTGCCTTCCTCTTTCTGCAGGTACCTGGATAATATCTATCTCCATCCAGAGGAGGAGAAGTACCGGAAAATCAAACTGCAGAACAAGGTGTTTCAGGTGAGGTGAAGGCTCCACCGGGTGCTCTGCCCAGGGAAGTCCTTGCCTGGAGCAGGATACATCCAACTTCTTTCCTTTTCTTCCAGGAAAGGATAAGCTGCTTGGAAGGGATACACAGATTTTTCCAGGCTATCGGGTTTGAGACAAAAACACTGCCTCTTCCAGGACAAGGCAAGAAACGGGAGTGTGTTAAACTGGAGGAGGGGGTTTGTGGGTGGTGGGACACCCTGGGGGAGGCGGGAATGGAAACAGCAGTTTCCCTCTTCAGACATCCCATTTCCTGGAGATCCTGGAATTTCTATTTCATCCATTACTCATGTAAAGAAGAGCCTCAAATCCTGTCCTTGTGGTTGCAGAGACCACAGAGGAGTACTACGTCCTGAAGGAGGACATGCTGAGCAGGCTGGAAGACCTCAAGCACTACAAAGAGCAGCTGCTGAGCTCGGAGCCCGTGCGAGCCCGGCTGGACCGACAGCTCTGTGTGTTCAAACCATCCCCTGAAGCCGCTCGGTTTGAGCTGCCCCCTGACTTCTACAACCTCACTGCTGAGGAGCTCAAACGAGAGCAGCGGCTCCGGTGAGTTGGCTTTAGGAGGAGGCTCGGGACACCAGCTCCCAGCCTTGCACCTCTCCTTCATGCTAACCAGGCTTTTCCCTAAAGGACAGAAGCAGTGGAGAAGGCTTCAATGCTGAGGACAAGAGCCATGCGAGAGAAAGAAGAGCAAAGGGAAATGCGGAAGTACAACTACACCCTGGTCCGAGTCCGCTTTCCCGATGGATATCTCCTCCAAGGTAAAAAGCCTTCTTATCCTTTAGAAGCTTTTGAGAATACTTGTAGCCTAGAGAGCTTGACCATTAAGCAGCTGGAGGTGTTTTGCACACAACACAAACAATAAAGAACCCAGAGCGGGGGGAATGTTTCTCTAACTCCTTTTCCCATTTCCAAGCCCTTTGCCTGCCCAGGTTTGGGACTTCAGGCCAGGCTCGAGTGGAGAGGGAAGAATCCCAAGGCTCTGTTAATTAAATCCTGCTCTTCCCAGGCTGCCAGGAGCAAGCTGGACTCGTTAGATGAGTTTGTTACAGCAGCCAGCATGAGGCTGCCTGTGTGGTGACAGGCTATACAACAGGATAAAATCCGCTTCAAATCTTGCACTAGAACTCTGGGAAGCATTTCAGGCTTTCCCAGCTCTTTGTTACAGGCTGGCAGGGGCTTGGGACAAATTAAGGAAGATTTTGGCTTTGGGGATTCTGTTTTACTACTTCGCAGTTGAATTGGGCTGGTTTTGTGGCACTGAAGTGGTTCGTGAAGTGAGGATCAGTACAGGAGCCCTACAGAATCTACCACAAAAGGTTAGGTTTGGGAAATGCCAGGCTCGCTCTCTCAATATCTCCCCTTGTTTTCTCGTGGCAGGGACTTTTTATGCACGAGAATCAGTCTCTGCGCTCTACACCTTTGTGAGAGAAGCACTCAGAGATGACTGGCTGCCCTTTGAGCTCCTGGGACCTGGAGGTCTCAAACTCACAGATGAGAACTTGGCCTTCAATGAATGCGGGCTGGTGAGTGAAAAAGAGCTGGTACCTTCCAGGGGGTCTTCAGGTTGTCACCTGCTGCTCACAACATAGAGCGAGGTTTGTGTCTTCTGCTTCCAGTGCCCTAAAGGCTGCTCTGGCCCTTTCTCTTTAAGCACAAGTAACTGCTTGAAGGCTTCTGGCTCAAGGCTGAGGTCTGGAAGGAATGACCTGACAGGAGGTTGTAGTGAGGTGGGGTCAGTCTCTTCTCCCAAGGAACAAGGGATGGGACAAGAGGAAACGGCCTCAAGCTGCACCAGGGCAGGTTTAGCTGGAGCTGAGGAACAATTCCTTGCCCAGAGGGTGCTCAGGCATTGGAACAGGCTGCCCAGGGCAGGGCTGGAGTCACCGTCCCTGCAAGTGTTCACACCCCGGGTAGACGAGGCCTCAGTGCCAGGGGTTAGTGGTGGCCTTGGCAGTGCTGGGGAGCAGCTGGACTTGATGGTCTTGAAGGTCTTTTCCCAGCTGGAAAGGGTCTTTTATGTGACTCTGTGAACTGCAGCGACCTGCCTCTGTGGCAAACCCAGCCTCGGCAGTGGGCAGCAGCTCTGCACAAGCTGCCAGCAGCAAGCCCAGAGCAGCAGCCCCTAGAAAGAGCTCCCCATAGAAACCCACACTTGTTGCACACACCCAACCCAGGTTGTGAGGTCCGAGCATCACAGTGCCCCAGCTCAACAGCGTGCCTTTCCTGTGCAGGTGCCCTCAGCCCTGCTGACTCTGGCCTGGGACGCAGCGGTCATGGCAGACATCCAGGCGGCGGGAGAGGAGCAGCCACAAAGCCCCCTGAAGCCAGAGATTCTCGCCAGAGTCCAGATACTGTCATGAAATAAAGGGCAGCAGAGTCAGTGCTGGAGCTTTTAGACTCTTCCCTCCCTTTCCCATGCAGACTGTTGGGGCTTCCAGCTCCCTGAGCTCAGCAATGACTTGGGGCTAAGCTCTGCAGAGCAGGAGTCTTGGTTTGGCCGTGTCACACCAACCTTGTGGTCACCTCCACTAAGAGTCTTGCCCATTAAGACACTTACGGGACTGCTCTGCCTGGCTTTAAGAACCAAGGTTAGCAGGGACTGCTTGAGGTGTTTCCGAGCCTGAGATGAAGCAACACCCTCCTCCCTTGTAGTGGGGGGGATTCAGTGTTAGTAGTAGGCTGGATTCCCACTTGAGCCTGGATATAGGGCCGGGCTTAGAACCCAGCTTTTCCTTTTGCTTCTGTGTGCACTGGAACTCCTGTTGGAGAGAATGTATTTAGATGAAGTAATGCACAGTCCCATTCAAGGGAATGGTTAACGACTCAGTTCTGTTCAAAGCTGTTTGAATTGCATTGCTCTGTAGGTTTGAAATGCAGATGAGCACCAGTCAGCGCCAGGGCTGGCACTGGTGGTACTGGTGTCGCTGTGGCATCACCCACCTCTTCGCTCCATGCACCCACAGGCAGACCAAGGGACTGGCAACACCTCTTTCTGCAGCCAGGAGTTTAGGGAACTAACCCATCAACTCACAAGCCAGAGAAGGTCAATATTCCCAGCAAGGAACCAGTTTGATGCTAGTTTAGTCTTTTACATGCCAGTGGTGATGGCTTTGCTGTAGGGCAGAGACTAGCTTGCACTTAGACAGCTTCTACTGCAGCAGTGGGTAGCAGAGACCAACGATCAACCCTGATAAGCAATTACTACCAGCCTAAACCTAGGGGAACCAAGGGGTGGTTTCTTCTCTTTCCCCAAGGTAAAGCCCTGCTGCTGTTCTCTGGAGCAAGGAAGACCACAAACAGGAGGACAGAGATGGCATAAATTCAAATATAATTGTACATCATTTATACCCAAGGCCATGCTATACAACATTATGAACAGTCATTCCCCCAGTGGTATCACAATAAGCTTATTCCAGAAGCCCTCTGCTAGTCTTAGAGATAATTTAGATACCTTCCATTACAAAGAAGTATCAAAATGTCAATAATGCTTTATTAAGGACAGATTAAGATGCAGGATTTTCTTCTTTTAAGCTAAAAACTAGGACTAAAAATGTAAGCTTCCATCGGGGCTGAAGCAGAACAAAGTGCTGTCTTCTCTTTACAAGAAATATGGAATACTTTCAAGTATCTCCTTCAAAGATACGCTGGGTTTAAGTTTTTCTAACTCATTCTACGTACATCCAGAGAAGTTAGTAGGTGGTTAAGGCTCAAGCTGTATTAGATGGGTCGAGCATGTTGGTGTCCTGGGGAGCAGCTCCTGCAATCGGGGCTGAAGCAGAACAAAGTGCTGTCTTCTCTTTACAAGAAATATGGAATACTTTCAAGTATCTCCTTCAAAGATACGCTGGGTTTAAGTTTTTCTAACTCATTCTACGTACATCCAGAGAAGTTAGTAGGTGGTTAAGGCTCAAGCTGTATTAGATGGGTCGAGCATGTTGGTGTCCTGGGGAGCAGCTCCTGCACCACTCGAGTCCAAAGCTGCCACTGTAGAATCTGCAAAGGAGAAAAGGGGTTGGTTTGGGGTTGTTTGGTTGGGGGTTTTTAACTATCCTCCTGAATGGAGTGGGATTGGACTGCTCTCTGCTTTCTGTGTCTTCACTTGGTGTGAGTCTCCTTTCCAATGCTATTTAAAACCTGGGTTTCATATTGGGTTAACATCAATCCAGAATAAAATCACTTCAACCATGAAAAAAAGATCTTCCTCATCTTTGCAGTGCTTTAGACTCGGGCAGAGGCAAACAAAGACAGTTGCATGTGTGTCAACAGAGCCTGAGGAAGGGAAGCTGCTGAACAGCAGCCCCATCCTCAGGACAAGGCTTTCATCTCCCTCCAGTCTTGTAATAAGCAAAAAGCAGCTTAAGATTAAATGGAAAGCTTCTTGTCAAACAGTCCCATTGTCTGTTACGGAAGGAGAAGAGGAACATAGCACCAGATATGTCTAGAATGGGTGAAACATTCAGCTAGAGAATGTAGGGCTTCAGCAATATGCACAAGCCCTTCTGTATCAGATAGAAGGGCTGCCCTCCACAAAACCCCACTTAATTCAGGTTGTGCCAGTGGCATTGTGCAAGATCTATTGTGAGAGTGGTAAGAAAGGGCTGGGAGGGTTTGAAAGTGGTTTAGAGGAGCTGAATGCACATCATGTGCTTGGCATAAAGTTATTGATGTGTATGAGCAAGTATTTATAGTTAAAACCTGGCTGAGATGAAAGGAGCTGCTCCACATCATCCCACTGCGGCTGAATCCGGAGCCTGAAAGGACATGCTATGAACGGTGGAGCTTTGAAAGCCGCTTCCTAAGGGATAACTGGGACACAAATACAAGCAACTGCTTTGATCCTAGAGCAGAGCTGCACAGCGTTGACCAGAGCCCTCACCTGTCAACCAGCCCAGAGCTTGCCCATTGTCCTACAATGGTTTAGGTTGGGAGGGAGCTTAAAGCTCCTCCAGTTCCAACCCCTGCCCCGGGCAGGGACACCTTCCACTAGAGCAGGTTGCTCCAAGCCCCTGTGTCCAACCTGGCCTTGAACACTGCCAGGGATGGGGCAGCCACAGCTTCTCTGGGCACCCTGTGCCAGCGCCTCAGCACCCTCACAGGGAAGAGCTTCTGCCTCAGAGCTCATCTCAATCTCCCCTCTGGCACATTAAAGCCATTCCCCTTGTCCTGGCCCTACAGGTCCTTGTCCAAAGCCCCTCTCCAGGTCTCCTGGAGCCCCTTTAGGCACTGGAGCTGCTCTAAGGTGTCCCCTTGAGGAGCCTTCTCTTCTCCAGCTGCCCCAGCCCAGCTCTCTCAGCCTGGCTCCAGAGCAGAGCTGCTCCAGCCCCTTCAGACAGCTCAGTGTGCACCTATGGCTTCAAGAGGGCAGCAGGGGGGAGTTATGGTCCAGACCCTGTTAGTCCTGGCAGGGCTCTGGACTGTGCATACCCCAGAGAGCTGCCCTGCTTAGCAACATGTACTGGACCTGCTGAGCCTCACCCCAGCATTCACATTTCTTACCAGAAAAGAAGTAAAAATCAACGGTAACACTGGCAGCCAAATGCTATTTGCACTGTTTAATCAGTTGGAGGGAGGAGGGAAGAAGAGGTAAGAGCACATTAAAGACTGTAAATAGCAAAGCAGCATCTAGAATAAAACATAAAAAGCAGAGAAGTACCTAGAATAAAATACCCAGAGAGAAGAGCACGAGGCTTGGTGAGAAAGGGGCACAAGAACTCAACAGGTTCAGCCCCACACCCCGTCCTCTCCCTTGTGGGAGAGCCAAGAGACTCCTACTGCTTTACTTCCCCACCTTTGCCTGGCTGTATATCCACAATCATGCAGTCATCATCTTCCTCATCTTCCTCAGTGTCTGCCTGAAATCCATCCATCTCTGCAGCTTCAGCCTTAAGGGAAACAAAGGGACCTTTAACAGCAAGCTGAGGGTGCAGGGGCAGTGCTCTGGAGGGCAGCAGTGGGTGCTCCCCACCACTGGGTCTCCCAGCACCCTCTGACCAGCTGGGCAGGCTGGTAGGGAAGAGAAAGAAGCAAGTCCTGGCTGCAACAGACCCGGATTTGGGATAAAAGGCCTCATGTGCAATGGCCCAGGGAGCGGGAAGCACGCCAGGCTTCTGCTCCAGGAGGTTTCACTCTTGCACAACACCATCAACAGCCTCCACAGCAGAACACAGTCCCAGCCTGCACTGAAACCTGCCTGGGTTCTGTTGTGTTGGAGGGGGATCTCCTCCCTCTGCCCATTACTTTGGATACTTTCTTCCTTCTGAAGACAGAAACTGACTTTTGCTTGTCAGCTCTGAAGCGTGTTCTCCTCACGGCTCCTCACCTCTGCCAGCTTTTATGCAGGGAGGGGTGAAAGTCCTTCCCTTGGTGACCCTGTTTCCTACCAGAGGAGCAGCACAAACTTCTCATTTTGAATTGAGAGAACGAACCCCAGGAGCGACACAAACTGAAGTCACCCAGCACTGAACATCTGCGAGTGCTTTCTGGCTCCTCTCCCCAACTGCAACTGTGGAATGCAAAGCTCAGCCCTACAACCTGGTCCCCACCCCCTACAAGCTGTTCCAAGAGAAGAAACTTTACATTTGCATCTTTCATTCAAGTCAGAGCTCTCAGATGAAGCATTCCCCTCCCACACGTGCCAGGTACTGCCCACTTCCATACCCAGGCCTCCTCTCTCCACAGCTTATGTAAAAGCACCTTTACTTACATGAGAACAACACGTGCTGGGGGTGGAGGGGGAACAGAACCTGGCAGCCTTGACCTCCCAGCACTTCCTGCTGTCCCCATTTTTTTTGAAGGATTGGATGGAGGAGCTCCATGTAGAGGTCCTAAGGCATGAAAGGCTTTCGGGCCCTGGCCACCTTTGCACAGCACCGCACCTCAGAGGCACGGCTTGAAGCTGCTTTGGAGAGCTGGTGATGGAATTCTACCAAAAGCCTTTGTTTGGCTATTCCTGCTCAAGCAGTCACTTATCAGCAGAGTTTCCAGTGGGTGCCAAGCAGAGATTTTTCTCTCTGCCTTTATTTAGTGGATGAGGAAAAAACCCAAGCAGATGGAGTTCGGGGGCTGAACAGCTTCACACAAGCCTCTGATCCCCATCAATACTTGAATGCAGAGCTGCTTCAGAAGACAAGCCAAGAATAAAGTGGGAAGGAAAAGCATCAAAAGCCTTGTCCGTGACTTCTTTCCTAACCCCCTTGTCCACAGAGGATGAGGGATAAACCCACCAGCAGTTCAAACCCTGCCCTACCCATAGGGGTGTGGAAGCAGATGGTCAGTAACACCAAACTTCAGGACCTATATATAAGACCTTCCTGTCTTAAATGCGCAATGAAGCATCACCCAACACATACTTTCCAGTCATCATTTTGGGTGATTAAGCTCTTCATACTACCCGCGGTTTCCCTGAAAAGCAGAAGCCAACAACAGGAAGACCACAACAAAGCTTAGAGCTGGAGTAAGCAACTACTTCAAATCCATCTCGTTTTGTTCCTATGAATGATGATGTTTTTAAACCAGCTCTTGAAATTCAGCTTTATGGATGACAGGATAAGCTGGAGACTTTGCAGACTATTATAGGTTGAGTTGCAGCACTTGGGAACCACATTGAATCCGTGCACATGCAACTGATGTAAGTCACCAGCTCGGGCTATGCATCTGGCAGCCATACACACACATAAAAACCTGCATACAAATCACACACAGCTGTAAAACTGAGGCCAAGCAGAAACTATTCACAGCTTGGATGCAAATCACTGCCAAATAGCAGAGAATGGAAGAACAGCAGGAAAGCAGCATTTTCAATGGAACAGACAGGCCAAGCTGGAGAGGCACAAAAGAAACCCATCTCTTCACTCACATCATTTCACTCCTCGCCCCACAAAAAAAAAGGGGGTTTTCTGTGAAGGAAGGTGTCTGTAGCTTTATATTTGGACTCTGCTCATCTAGACCAAGGCAGGGGTGTGCCAGGGGACACTCAACTGCTGAGGGCACACAGCTCCATCCCCACCGTGCTGTCCTGGGGAAGAACATGATGACAGGAACTCACCTGCTCAGCATCCCGAGGTCTCTTCATGAACTTGGTGATGGACATGCTGCCAGTGGGCTTCCTCTTCACTGCCACGGGGGTGGGCTGCAGCACAGCCAAACCTGCCACGCTGCCACCCTCCTCCTTCCCCGAGGAAGGGACTTGGGTGACGTAGCTCCACTGACAAGGGACGGGGAGATGCTCTTGGTCAAAACTCTTCAGCACCTCGGAGTGGACGTACCAGCACATCCTGTACTCGGGTCTCTTCTCATACACAGAGTTCTCCGAGATGATTCTCTTTAGCCTGGCTTTGGAAGGGACCCCACTGTCCTCCCCAACAGGCGTCTGTGGGCGGGAGGCCACGGGGCTGGCGGGGCTGGTGTCGCTGCAGTCGGCGGCCGCCGTCACGTCACTGAAGAGTCCCTGTCGGCAGCACTCCTGGAATTCCTGGATGATCACTTTGCTCCCGTTCACGTTGCCGTGCAGCAGCGGCAGGAGGTGGCCAAGGACTGCAGAGAAGGAAGGAGGCACAAAGGTTGGGTTGGGGGGGCTGGAAAAAAGAAGTCTTTAATGGTTGGGAAAAGCCAGCAGGACACACGCTCCGGGAAGAGGACAAAGAGGCTGAGGTTTATTTTAGAGCTAGGATTGTAACAGGAGCTAAACTGGATGGAGAAAAGGCAGCCTGAAGTGAAAGCTTTGACCCCTGTTATAGCCTTTATGTTCATTATCCTCAGCCTTGTGTCACCCGGTACCAAAACCTGTCACACAAACTAAACCCTCTCCCCCCTGAGCAATGACCAGGTCAATGGGCCCAAGCACTTCCAGTCCTAAACCCGCATCTACTGGAGTGCTGTTGGCTTCATCTCCTACATTATTCTAGAGCAGTTTTTGGGTGAGTGTAACCAAGGCCATACCAGATGCAACTCTCTTCCAAGAACTCTCAGAGATTCCTTGGATTTCGGACTTGTCATGAACAGGTTGTTCTGAACTAGACACTCAGTATGAGAAGCTGTTTTCGCCCAAGCAGAGTACAAGAGCGCACAAATACAAGTGTTTAGCTCTTTAGGTCTTACTTTGCTGATCTTTTGCTCTTTTTTTGCTGCTTTTCTGGACCTGCTGTTCTTCCTCTGCAACAGGTGAATCCAGGATGCAGGCTGTGAACTGCTGCAGAACCTTTAGGTCTGCATTTGTGCTGCCGTCATGTTCTGCTCCTTCCCAGACGCAGCCGATTTTCACAGGCTGTAGAACATGGAACCTCTTCCCCTTGGCTATCAGCTCATCCCACTCCTTTGCTTTCAGCTTTTGACGAACCTTCTGATTCTCTGGATCACACTCCTACAGCCACAGATGAGGAAGAACTTGAAAGATGATCCAGGAACAACCAAAAGCCTTTTTCAACCCACCTTTTCCCAGTGTTCCCTGAGCTGCAGAAGTTGCTCCTGGACCATTGCAGGCCCAGTTACATCACTGCCAACACTACAGAGTCTCCCTCTGCCACCGTTACAAGATTCATTGGAAACAGATGAAAATCCAGTGACCCCCAGTTCACTTACTTCTGTCACTCCTTCATCTTCAGATAGGTACCCATGGGGTACAAAAAACCCATCGTCATCATCTTCATCCTCTCCCTCCTCTTCATCATCCTAAAACCAAACTCTGCTTGTTAGAAAGCACACTGGCAAGTGTGACTGGTTCAGAAAGCTGTTTTCCAGCAGGCAGAATCCTTACCCCTTCACTATGGGAGAGACTTTCTCCAGGTTCCTCCTCTTCCCATTCTTCATCACTATCTACTTCATAGTCCAGTAGTTTCTAGAACAAATGCCAACAGGCCATTTCTGTAATGAACTTGTGAGCACGAGGCCAGACCCCAGTCAGGGTTGACAACTTGGTAGCAAAAGGGAACATGGAATTGAATCAGGAATCCCAGAGAACAAGTGAACTTGGCTAAATACATATTAAGTTCAAGAGCAGAAAGAAGAAAGAATCCAACAAGCCTGCAAGGTGCTTACACTGTCCCTTGACCAAGGATTCCGGGGATGGATCATAGTGGATTTCTTGTTCCATGTGCCCCAGTACGCAGGACGGTGGTTCTCACAGAACTGCAGGAGTTTCATCCTCCCAAATTTCCCCCTTTCAGGAACAGCATCTGTTTTGCAGTTATCCACTACCACCACGTCACTGTTAAAACAAGAGAGCCTCTTCAGTCCCTACACAACACTCCCCTGCTGCTCAGAAAAACAGCTTAGAGAAAGCTTCAGCTCAGCCACAACCCCAACCCCAAGTGTAGAACTTGTTCTCTCAACTCTCCTGCAAGAAGAGGAGCTCCAGCCAAGCCACCTCCCTCCTTACCACCACCTCTGCTTTAGCTATCAGTCCATTTCCTTTTGGAAACAGGGATGAACACCATTAAAAGCCAGTAGTGTCCAGTGCTGCAGGGCAGCTGCCTGAAGCACAAGAGTTCCTGCAGGAAAGGATTTGAGAGCACTGCATGGAATGAAGGAAATCCCCATCACAACATACTGCTCCCTGGGGAATTCTCATCCAATATGAGTATTCAAAGCAAAGCTCCCTCTTCCCATCATCTCCAATATTAGATTAAGACAAGGTCAAAACCATTCTGCAGTTCATTACAGACAAGAAGCAAAGACACAGACCAACCTGTTCACTTCGTCAGTGCTGCTCTTGACAAAAGTAGGTCCAGTTTTACGTGGTTTACGACACTTTAGGTCCCTCAAGAAGGAAACTTCACTGCTCTGTGCACGCAGGAGCTTATCCAGCTGCTCTAAGAAGTCTGGATCCAGGGCGATACGACACAGGGGAGCTAAGACCATGTTCTCCTTAATTTCAAAAGGAGCAAACTTTCCACAGGAGCCAGCAAGAATCTGAAATACCAAGTGAGGATTGGTAAGGTCTCAACACCCGAGAAACTGCGGTACCAACACAGCCAACATCTGCAACAGAGTTTAACACCAGGCCTGAAGGTTTAGATTAAGCCCTTCACATGTGAGGCTCCAAGAGATCTTTTCAAGGCACTCTAGGTCTTTGCAGCCAGTGCAGCAGAGGTGAGGTTTCTCCTGACGCAACTACAAACTGCTTTTGGAGTCGTTGCTCTGGTCACAGGCTTGTTTCAAAGTCCTTTACACTTCTGAGATTGGGAAGTAAGAAAAAGAACTAATGCTTTGTCCACCTAAGAAGCTTGAAGGGACAGATGAGAAGGAAATGAGTGTGTTTGCTAGATGACAACTACTGAAAGGCAGGAATAGCAATACCTCACCTTCGGGGCTTGGGGAGTCTTTGGTTTCTGGAAGAACCTCGTGATTTCTGCTTTCTGGGCATTGATACGCTGCAATCAAAAAGCACATTGTAAATGTAAAGGCAGGACAAGGTTTATTATTGCAGGAGAGCTCAAGCGTGACTCAACTTCAAACCCACTGAGGTGCAAAGCAAAGTTTCTGCCATTTACCAGCTCCTGTGACTCAACAAAAACCCCAGCTGGGCTCCCTAACAGAGCTCCATGGATTCCAATGGCATTGCTAAGGCAAAGGATTGAGTTCACTCAGGGCCATTGGAAAAACAAACGTAGAAAAGGCTTTAAGGTGTAAAAGCAAAGACAACACCACATTCAGAAGTAACAGACAAGAAACCTGCACGACAGAACTGGTGGAGCAGCCCCACCACAGCTGCCTGGCCCAGCTGCACCCACGGCAGGGTGCCAGAGAGCCCAGGAGCCCATGAACATCATTTCACCAGAGCAGGATTTAGAGACAAGCTGGAGAAAGCATTTACCTTTTCCTCCTCTCTCAACCGTTTCTCCTCTTCTTTCTTTCTCTTCTCTTCAAGTTTTGCCCTTTAATATAAAGTTCATTTTAATTGCAATGAACCATCAAGTGTTTATTAGCACTGGGGAAGAGGGGAGAAGCCCAAGACCTTGACCCCATCATGCAAGGCAAGAAGATAAGCTGCTAATTCCACCAAGGAGCAGACTTGGTTAGAAGACTCTCGATTCCTTTTAGAGCAAATATTGCCCTGGATTAGCCACAAAGTAGCTTCTTCAGTCCCAGGAAAGGGTATTTAGGATATTATCAAGTTACAAGCAACTTCCTCACCAGCCCGGGCACCTGTGCCAGCAAACAGCAAAGTACAAGCAAGACTGGTCATGAAGAGAAAACTCAGTGGAGCGTAACAGCACTTTTCAACCCTTTTAAAGCAGAAGCCCAGGTCACCCTGCAAGCAGAAAGCTCTGCTGAGACCAGGCTCTGGTGCACCCAGCCTTCCAAGCCTTTAAAACCTACCCTGGGACAGAGGCACGTGCTGCTCGACCAGCAGAGCCCCCAGAAGAGGTGGTTAAGGTGGGGATGGAAGGGTGCTCACACCATTACACATTAGTCCCCAGGGCGTGCAGAAACCAAGGCACTTACTCTAAGGCTTCCTGCCTCTCCTTGCGTTTCTCCTCCTTCACTCTCAGCTTCTCAGCTTTTTCCTTTTCTTCTTTCTCTTTCTTTTCTCTCCTTTCTTTCTCTTTCAATTCTTTCTCCTCTTCTTTCTTCTTCTTGGCCTCCTCCTTGGCTCGCTCTTTCGCAGCTTTTGCTTCTTCTTTCAGCCTTCCCTTTTCCTCCCTTTCTGCTTGTAACTTCTGCAGCTTGTCTGCACGCTCCTGGTCCTGAAAGAAGCCATGAAGCAAGTTGTCATTTAGCACAGAGCAACAGCTGCTGGCATGAAAACTCGAGTCAAATAAGGACTTTCTTCAGCTGAGACATTAAATCCCAACCCAGACCCCCCCTCCCCGTGCTGGGAACACCCCCAGAGCGTGAGCAGCAGCTCAGGGAAGGAATCCTGCCCCTCTGCTGCGCTCTGGGGACCCCTGCAGCGCAGCCCTGATCCAGCTCTGGGGAATAGCACAAGAGGGATGTGGAGCTGCTGGAGCAAGTCCAGAGGAGGCCTCGGAGCTGCTGCGAGGGCTGGAGCAGCTCTGCTCTGGAGCCAGGCTGAGAGAGCTGGGCTGGGGCAGCTGGAGAAGAGAAGGTT